GATCATAATTTGTTTATTAAAATTTAAATCATATTTGGCTTATTCTTAATCAGATAAAAAATCAAAACAAATGTTAGATGAACAAAAATATAATAAATAGATTACATACCAATTGATTGTGTTCTTGTTTATAATAGAGGAAGACAAAAACTTAAGGACCATCTCCGGTTAAGAAAAAGTAGAAGAGATTAAGTGGTTGAGTGTATTACCCTAGATATTTTCTTTGTTTATTATTTTCAACTTCTATTTAGTTGCTAATTTTGAAAACCCTCAAATCAATTAAGTCTTTTGATCAAAAAATACTTCACGTTACTTATTTTTTAATGGTGGATCTAATAACTTTCTTGACCTCTAACTTTCTTACAAAAATTATGGGCCATATGCAATGTCTCTTTGAAATACACATAGCCACGCCTAAAGATTCAAATTTTTGATGCAAGGATTCTTCACAATAGCTCTTAAGTTTTGGCTCATCCTATGTGAATTATTTCTGTATAATAATATAAGAAATCAACAATCGGCGAGTTGGAAGATTGACTCAAACTAGTCAAAAATAGCATAAGAGAAAGGACGAAGTAATAGTCTTTGGTCTTTTTAAAAAAAAGTAATAGTCTTTGGCAGTTATCTTATCTTAAATAATAATTGGAACACTGACTCAAGTTCTTACTTCTTAGAGCAAACTCTAACTTTCAACTATATTTAGTTTGTCTTATCTAAAGATTACATATTGTTAAAATAATACTTAGAAAATTGACTCAAATTATTACTTCTTAGAGCAACTCCAGCTTTGCACTATATTTAGAGAAATTACCCACATTTGATGTTTTCGTGTCAAATTTTTTTTTTTCTATCTCCAACTACAACACCAAATCTCACACTAATTAAAAAAAAATTTGTTAATATATTATTAAATTTAAGATTTTCTAATTTTTAATAGTTTGACAAATAATATTTATTTTTATAACTGATTAATTATAAGTTAAATATATATTATAATTGGTGACAACT